AGTTCGGGCGTTTTCAAGGTGGTATGGCCGTAAGCCAAATCTGCTGCCAAAATTGGGCTATTTGAATGGTTAGAACATTAGGGTAGTAAACTATATAAAGCTTACAGCACCTGGTATTCCCAGGCGGTCTCCCATCCAAGTACTAACCAGGCCCGACCCTGCTTAGCTTCCGAGATCAGACGAGTTCGGGCGTTCTCAAGGTGGTATGGCCGTAAGCCAAATCTGCTGCCAAAATTGGGCTATTTGAAGAAGAAAAAAAAGAGACTCTTTCAGGCTTTCTGAAGAAACTCAGAGAATATTTCAGGCATTTCGAGGGGAAAAAGACAATTTAGGATTTTTGAACCATTTCATTGACTCTTTTTTTTTTTTTTTTTTTTTTAAACAATAAAGCTTACAGCACCTGGTATTCCCAGGCGGTCTCCCATCCAAGTACTAACCAGGCCCGACCCTGCTTAGCTTCCGAGATCAGACGAGTTCGGGCGTTCTCAAGGTGGTATGGCCGTAAGCGAAATCTGCTGCCAAAATTGGGCTATTTGAAGAAGAAAAAAGAGACTCTTTCAGGCTTTCTGAAGAAACTCAGAGAATATTTCAGGCATTTCGAGGGGAAAAAAAGACAATTTAGGATTTTTGAACCATTTCATTGACTCTTTTTTTTTTTTTTTTTTTTTTTAAACAATAAAGCTTACAGCACCTGGTATTCCCAGGCGGTCTCCCATCCAAGTACTAACCAGGCCCGACCCTGCTTAGCTTCCGAGATCAGACGAGTTCGGGCGTTTTCAAGGTGGTATGGCCGTAAGCCAAATCTGCTGCCAAAATTGGGCTATTTGAATGGTTAGAACATTAGGGTAGTAAACTATATAAAGCTTACAGCACCTGGTATTCCCAGGCGGTCTCCCATCCAAGTACTAACCAGGCCCGACCCTGCTTAGCTTCCGAGATCAGACGAGTTCGGGCGTTCTCAAGGTGGTATGGCCGTAAGCGAAATCTGCTGCCAAAATTGGGCTATTTGAAGAAGAAAAAAAGAGACTCTTTCAGGCTTTCTGAAGAAACTCAGAGAATATTTCAGGCATTTCGAGGGGAAAAAAAGACAATTTAGGATTTTTGAAACCATTTCATTGACTCTTTTTTTTTTTTTTTTTTTTTAAACAATAAAGCTTACAGCACCTGGTATTCCCAGGCGGTCTCCCATCCAAGTACTAACCAGGCCCGACCCTGCTTAGCTTCCGAGATCAGACGAGTTCGGGCGTTTTCAAGGTGGTATGGCCGTAAGCGAAATCTGCTGCCAAATTGGGCTATTTGAATGGTTAGAACATTAGGGTAGTAAACTATATAAAGCTTACAGCACCTGGTATTCCCAGGCGGTCTCCCATCCAAGTACTAACCAGGCCCGACCCTGCTTAGCTTCCGAGATCAGACGAGTTCGGGCGTTTTCAAGGTGGTATGGCCGTAAGCCAAATCTGCTGCCAAAATTGGGCTATTTGAATGGTTAGAACATTAGGGTAGTAAACTATATAAAGCTTACAGCACCTGGTATTCCCAGGCGGTCTCCCATCCAAGTACTAACCAGGCCCGACCCTGCTTAGCTTCCGAGATCAGACGAGTTCGGGCGTTCTCAAGGTGGTATGGCCGTAAGCGAAATCTGCTGCCAAAATTGGGCTATTTGAAGAAGAAAAAAAGAGACTCTTTCAGGCTTTCTGAAGAAACTCAGAGAATATTTCAGGCATTTCGAGGGGAAAAAAAGACAATTTAGGATTTTTGAACCATTTCATTGACTCTTTTTTTTTTTTTTTTTTTTTAACAATAAAGCTTACAGCACCTGGTATTCCCAGGCGGTCTCCCATCCAAGTACTAACCAGGCCCGACCCTGCTTAGCTTCCGAGATCAGACGAGTTCGGGCGTTTTCAAGGTGGTATGGCCGTAAGCGAAATCTGCTGCCAAAATTGGGCTATTTGAATGGTTAGAACATTAGGGTAGTAAACTATATAAAGCTTACAGCACCTGGTATTCCCAGGCGGTCTCCCATCCAAGTACTAACCAGGCCCGACCCTGCTTAGCTTCCGAGATCAGACGAGTTCGGGCGTTTTCAAGGTGGTATGGCCGTAAGCCAAATCTGCTGCCAAAATTGGGCTATTTGAATGGTTAGAACATTAGGGTAGTAAACTATATAAAGCTTACAGCACCTGGTATTCCCAGGCGGTCTCCCATCCAAGTACTAACCAGGCCCGACCCTGCTTAGCTTCCGAGATCAGACGAGTTCGGGCGTTCTCAAGGTGGTATGGCCGTAAGCGAAATCTGCTGCCAAATTGGGCTATTTGAAGAAGAAAAAAAGAGACTCTTTCAGGCTTTCTGAAGAAACTCAGAGAATATTTCAGGCATTTCGAGGGAAAAAAAGACAAATTAGGATTTTTGAACCATTTCATTGACTCTTTTTTTTTTTTTTTTTTTTTTAAACAATAAAGCTACAGCACCTGGTATTCCCAGGCGGTCTCCCATCCAAGTACTAACCAGGCCCGACCTGC